GAGGACAAGTACAGGTTCTAGCTTCTAAGTGATGCAAAGAGTGTCGTCACTGAGGGAGTCTATGTGTGTACAAGTTTTCAAGGACCAGTTTCTAGAGCGAACTTGGGTGTGGGTCTAGTACTAGTTTGCCTACAGTAGCGCATTGATTAATCTGAGTCGCTATGATATAAACACAGAAGACGGGCGATCACATTCGCGCGCAAGAGATGATGACTTGAGCTCACCGTGTCTTCAAGGGTTTCTAGCAATGTCTCGACCGCCACCGTCATCGTCCGAACCCAGCGAGTTGGTGTCTGAGTCGGAAAGTGATTGGGAACAGGTAATTCGCAGAGGAGAAATCCATTCGAATGAATATGCAACATCGTAGAGACAGTGCATAAGGCGTAGTCAATGTTGGAGATCATATCGTGGGGCTCTACTTGAGCTCATTATGTAGCTCCGTCCATGTTCGTGTTCCTGTTTTGCTAGGAGGCTAATGCCCGGTTGGCAGAGAGAATGGAGTCGTTCATGTCCTGTTTTGACGACGGAATACAACCTAAGAGTGTACTGTGGGTGGGGAACCTTGTATTGTCAATTCTTGAGTACTGCTGTCGGTGTGCATCGAGTAATGAGCCGGCCAAAGATAGGGGCGCGCTTCGAGCGTTGTTATCTGGCTAGGAGTCCGAGCAAACAATTTCCGTGCTTGTCGTCGTAGAAATTAATCCGACCCATTGCCACGTACCGTGTGGTGTGCCGTTGGCTTGTGCATTCTCTAAAGACGAGGCTATTCAGGTCCTTGCTAAGAAGGATGCAATAGCGGAGCGAGTGAAGAAGGACAAGGTGGTCTCGAAGGCTCCGACTAAGAAAGCGGAATGGTCTTTTGCGGCTGATAATGGAGTGGATGAGAATGTCGATGTAAAAGGGGCTGATGAGACAGGCATAATCCGGAATGCAACAGCACTGGGTCGTTGAGAAAAAATTCGGTAAAAATGGAAATTCTGAGGGAAGTTTTGGAAATTCTTACGGGTTTCACTTCAACCCTAGTTCGTGTATGAATTCTTCCGTAACAGTGTAACTAGGTCTTCGGTGCGGAGGAGCAGAGCTCACTGATCTTCTTATCAAGAATTCAGCGAGCTGTTATTGAAATTATTTTGTAAATTGGGTGACTAAAGGACAAAAAGTTGTCGGGGGTTGGCTGGCGTCGTCGACATGGCCGACCATGTTCTATAATAGCAGAAGCCGTCGATAGACTTCTCCAGTGTAAACTGTCTCTTTATGAAGACATGTGAGAAAAATGACCATCGTGGGATTTGATCCCACGATGGATCATTCGGTCGACAGGCGTGGTTACTAACGTACTGAGCTAACAGTTCATCTCTTGTGCGGAGAAGTGTTTCGTCAAAAATAAGTTCGCAAAGCAACAGCGACACTCTCGCTATATTTTTACGAGCAGGCAACGGGGGACAGAATGATAGCCTGTTTGTCTTCTGAATCACCCTGGCCGGGTCGGAATTTTTGCTCACGCATGCACGCACGCGCGCACACGAGTGTTCGTGCGCAGTAACATAAGCTCCGCTCGCTTCGCAATTAGCGAGGAAACTTTCGAGCTCAGCTGAGGGAAGCGAGCATAGATTGCAGCACTGGTATTGGCGTTAATAATGGGATAGTTATGGCAGCTGGCTGATTGTGTTTGGAGAGTCCTTGGTTGATTAGCCGATCAAGATGCGATGCTTGTGATCAGGCACGAGAGAGGGAGGCCATTGCATCGAATCGTCCGGATTTCACCAGTGGAGATTTCATGGCGAGCTCTGTTGAGAAAATGACAAGTAGTAGGGGCTTATGGCATCGCTCGAGTGGCGTGCTGGGAAACTCGAGTTGTTGTCGATAATGTGATTGGTCGTAGATACGAAGCGAGCATCTTATATAGCACCGCCACCTTCTAAGAAGAAGCCTACTACAACGTCCCAGAGAGAGGACGAAGAGGATAAGATTTTCAACAAGGCGTTGCAAGATATGCTCAACTATGGTAATGATCGGCTGGGAAAGGTCAGCTCTACTGCGAGAGACAATCGCATTCAGCTAGTAATGGATGGTACCACAACGTGGGATTGTCTGAGGTAGAGTCTGCAAGGGAATTCGTTGTCTCATTCAGTTTATCCGAAGACCAAAGACAAGAAATCTAAGCGACAGTATATGGATGCGAAATTTTCGGCTCTAGGCGGCAAGGTATGGTTAAGGGGTCATGTTGGATGATATCGTGTGATTTACCGTCGCAGGTTGAGAAGGAGACCGGCCATAATATCACTCACCTCCGAAAGATGCGTGAAGATCGCCAACGACTGGTAAATGCGAGCAAAGAGAAGGTGATGGTGACTGGTACAATTCCCTGTGGTGACTACATTCTTGGCAGGCACAGTATATGGGCGTGAATGTCTCGACGCTGAAGTATACCACTGTAGGAGATGCTGATAGGGTGAGTGAGCTCGGCGGGTTGTAACAAAATGTGCCAACTTTGATGATATTTGTTCTTCCTGCATGCAGGCACGAAAGAAAGCTGCCAGACATAAACGTGAGGAAGCTGATGCTAAGCTGATGGATTCGGTTGGTGCGGTCTTCACGGGCGGCAGGGGTAAAGGGACCGCTTATAAGGGAGGTAGGGCGATTGACGTACTGCTGGGGCGAGCGAGAATGCTTGAACGGCATTTCGTACAGGTAAAATGAAAGATGGGATGCTCGCTGTGTCTAAGGATATTCTCAAGAAGTATGGCGCTAAGTCGGGCGGGTCTGGTGGAAAATCGAAGCCACGGAGAGGAACATAGTTTCCAACTACGTACTGCAGATAAATGTTGTGTGACTGGTGGTTTGGAGGACTCACGTGTTAAGTTTGGATGCTTTCCGTGACTAAATGTTATGCCGATTGCA